GCATGGCCCCTGCCACACTTCCACTTGTCCTCACCACATGTCAATCTGGGTAGAGTAGTCTGTGGACCCGAGAAGGATGTCGGGGGGCCGGTACCACAGTGTCACCACCTCATTGGAGTATGTCTTGGTTGGAATTGACTTAGCCCGGGCCAGACCTGGTAGTGGAGAGGAGGCAGGTGGAATTGAGATGGTCCTGAGCAGTCTGGGAGACTGAGACTAGGTGGTCATGGGCAAGGGAGAGGCTAGGAGAGTAAGGCTGGGGGATAACTGGAAAGGGGAGGCTGAGAGTACCAAAATCAGCCAGCTTGAGCTCTCCTCTCTCGTTGATGAGTAAATTCTGGGGCTTGAGGTCTCGGTGTAGCACCTTCTGCCGGTGGCAGTAGGCCAGGCCACGGAGTAGCTGGAACAGGAACAGCTGGGAACCCAGGAATGGCATGCAGAGGTCAAAGAGTATCCAGCATCCTGACTCCCAGCAGGCACTGCTCCCCCTCCCAAACATGGACACTGAGCCCAGAGCCTTGTCTCACAAAAGAGGACAGGGTCCCAATGCCCTCCAATGGCTCCTAGCAAAAAAGCCAAAAGGGAAGTTGTTTCTGGAAGATTTGTGGGGTGGACTGGGTAAGTAGGGGCCCCCTTGTGCCTCTGCTTCCTGCCCCACACCCACTTTCACGTTGTGCATGTTGATGACGTTCCCACAGTCATCCAGGTACTGCTTCAGGTCCTTGTCCTGAGGAGAGAAGAGAAGGTAGAGAAAAGAGGGTCATATCCTGTGGCTCCTGGCCATCTTCCCACCTCCCCCTGGGACCCACTGCCACCCAACCTTACCAGGTACTCAAAGACAAGGGTAAGGGACTTCTCCGTGTGGATAATGTCATGTAGCGTGACGATGTTGGCATGTTTGAGGTCCTTGAGCAGGGATACTGCAGGAAACGTGGGGGTGAGAGTCAGGGCCCCACCCTCAGGATAGTGATGAGGACTAAACAGGTAGGAGACCAGGGTTTCCTTCTTTCCCTATGCAGTTTGGGGTGGTGGCTCACAGTCACCAGCACTAACCCACCTGATACCAGGAAAGTATGTCCCCAAGGTCCAGATGTGGAAACTAAGGCTCAGAGAAGAGTACAAACAAGAACATGGGATTGCAGCTCCAGGCTTATGTGACACTAGATTTTCAAAACCCATTTTTGGTTTCTGGAAAGGGGCCTTGTTCCAACCCTCAGCACACCGACCTGCAGCCTCCTATGAAACTGTGTTCGCACACTCAATTTCTATGCAATTCAAACTCACTGCATGATGTTCTAATTATTGTATCAAGTAAATAGGTTGAGTACTTTCAGGATGTTCTCAGAATCAAAGCAAGAACCTTGCTTTCCAATTCATCTGCCTCTTCTCAAAACAGGACTAGATTCCTGGTTACCTTGATTATTACCTAGATATGTGGGTGATGGGCACTTTCTCATGAAGCCCAGAGTGTCAGGAGAAAAGTACCAGAACTCCCAGTCTCTATTCTCACTATGGGGCACGTGTTTGTGTGCACTATGGGGAGTGCCCAGGAAGCCTGGGGCAGATCTTCCTAGACGTCTATACCTTCTCGGATGGCGGTGCAGGGTGCTCCCTCTTCGTGTTCCAGTCTGATCTCCTTGAGTGCCACAAGGTTGTCGGTGAGCTTACTTTTGCCTTTGTAAACGGTGGCATAGGTACCCTGGGGAATGAGGAACAGTTATAGGAGAGGACCTTGAGGCTGTAGGGAGTTCCCACTGACCCCTGTCCCCATAATGGGCCTCTTGGCTGTCCCTCACCTCGCCCAGCTTGTCCAGCTTGATGTAGGTCTCCAGTTTCCCAAAACCAATCTCGGACTGTGGGGTAAAGGAGGCAGGTTGAAGCAAGCTCAGGGAAAGGGACTGGGGCAGGGGTGGGGGGTGCGAGAGGAGCTAGAGAAAGAGGAGGAGGAGGAAGAGGAGGAAAGGACAGAAGATGCACACCAGGCTGACACGGCGGAGGCGACGGCTGAGGGGCTTGTCAAAGATGGGGCTATTGAGGGTCAGCTTCTCAAGGTAGCCTTCGGGCAGCCGGATGTCAGCTGGTAGTGATAAGCGCTTGTTGATGTCCTAACAGGCAAGACAGAGAAGAAACAGGACCATGAGCTCCACTGCCCCAGGTCCAAGCCTCTTTTTCAGACCCGCCACCACCTGGACAGAGGGGTTAAGCACCTCAGTGGAGATCTTTCGAGGAGGATGGTTGCGCATGCGCACCCTCACTGGTGACTGCACCTCATCTGAGGATGTGGCTGAAGCCTGGTCACTTTCCCCGTCAGACCCCATCTTCAAGTCAGACCCCATCTTCAAGTCCTCGTGTACAATCTCTGGAGGTGGCAACAGGGGGTAGGCAGGCCAGGTGGAGTCAAGAGCCCCAGGACACTCTCTTCCCCAAGAAAACATTCCCTCATCATAGAGGTATGCATATGGCCCCCAGAGCAGCACAGGGTCCCTCAGGGAGAGGATAGCAAGGTCTAGGGAGGTTCAGACAGGACAGGAAGGTTGAATGGGGCAGAGGGAATAGTCACCTAGTGGAAAACCCAGTGCCAGGGGTGAGCTGAGACTCTGGCTAGCCTGGGGCCGGGACAGGCAGAGGTAGCCAAAGGCCCAGGGCAGGCAGGTACCAGGAAGCCTGAGGGGGCTGGCACAGAGTGTAGGAGAAGGGTAAAAGGAGGCTTGGGGCAGCTGCAGCAGGGAGGGGACCCTTCCTCCCTAAGGCCTGGGCAGAAAGCCAACAAAAAGGGCACAGATGAACAGATAGATGGTATTAGGATGGCAGGGAAGAGGAGGAAATGGAGAAAGGGAAATGAAAAGAACACAAGTCTAAGAGGAACTCGGCTGGGAGGCAGCACCGGGGGACCAGTCTAGGGGAGGAAATAGTAGACCCACCTGGTGCAGAGCTGAGTAGTCCCCGCCCGGAGCAAGGTTCCCCAGGGGCAGCACGGGTGGGGGCCTCTCCAAGGTCACTGCCGCCACCACCACCACTCTCATCCAGGCCTATCTGTTCAGGGGCACTGTTGGTCTTGTCTACACCTCTACCCCCCCGGAGTGTCATTGACAGCTGCCGTTTGATCTTCTTCATCCGATCCATGGCGACCTGAGAGGGTGGGGGGGGTATGGATGGGAATGGGTCCCATGTTAACATCTGCCTGACCACCATGAGCCCCCTAGGACCCATGACAACCTAATGAGGCTGACAACACTGACATGAACTTGTGTTAGTGCCCATTCATCCACTGAGGAGTTCTGGAACCACTCAGGATTCCTTGAAACCTGGCATGGATGGGGACCTTTGTCAGTGCCTGCCCACTTACAGCCAGCCCCTGGGAACCCTGCTCCTAGGTAGCCCACCTGAGTACTGGGTCTTGGGTGGATAGCTGAGGGCAAGGGTCCAACCGATGGAATGTTGGTCTCCATGGGGGCAGCCCCACTGTGGGAGCAGCAGGCATTCTTGGGTGCAGCGGCAGTGATGAACCCAGCCATGGGTGGGATGGATGGGGAGGGGGGATTGCCCAGGACCTCAGAACGACTGACATGGCCCTGGGTACGCCCATAGAATGGCATTTTCCGCCGGCACCAACCCAACATCACCCCCAACTGCCAAGGCAGACTGCTCTTTATGGCCACAAGGACCTCCAATCTCCCCTAGCAACCATCGTCATGGTGACTAGTGGACTACACCACTGATCTACCCAAGTGAGGGGTATAGGGTGGGGGAGTCTGGCCCAGACCCAACCACTAAGTGGGGTTGTGGGGGGTAATCTCAATGTATACAAGCTATCCTAAGGGCTGCTGGAAAGATTCAATCAGGTTGGGACTCATAAGGTCCCATCCAGATTTTTATAGGCCAGGTCACATTTCTCGTCTACTTGAGAATGCACCACATCTCCCTTATCACCCCCAATAAATCTCCCACTCCTCAGTGTGACCCATATGGTCTTACCCCATTCACCCCTATTACCTCTCTGGCCTCACCTCCCCGTCAATCATTGCTAGCTGCTGTTCTGCAACCACACCCAGCAGTCCCATCTCAGAGCCTTTGCACTGGCTGTTCCCGGTACCTGAAAATACCCTTCCCTCAGATTTCAAAAACAGCTCACTCCTTCACCCCCTTCAGGCCGTTGCTCAAATGATAACCCTCCACAAATAACCCTATTTAAAATCTCAACCACCCGTTCCCTCACCTTGTCAATTATCCCCCAGAACTCATCACCTCCTCAGAAATGACACCATCTACTTATTGGTTTATTTCTTTACTGTCTGTCTCCTCACCGCCATAACTAGAAGATCAGCTCCGCCAGGGTAGATTTCTGTCTGTTTAGGTCACGGCTATTTCCTGAGGACCTGGAACAGTGACTGACACAGAGTAGATGCTCAAAAAGTGCTTATGGCAGAAATTAATGAAATCAGGGGTCTGAGGGCCTAGGACCAATCTCTACCAGGGTAAGCAGGGTGAGTCCCTGCTACTCATGAACAACCCCAGACAAGGTGGCCCAGGGACACTGGCATCGGCAGGAAGATGACCTACCTAGATGGGGTTGCTGGAGGGAATGGGGCCACCAAAAGGCTTAGGCTGGCCTTCTTCTGCTTCCACCTGGGCTTTGGGCCAGCAAGGAGGGGGAAAGACCTGGCCCAGGAACCATCTGGACTCACAGCAGGGCCTAAGATGGCCCTGGGCCCAAGGGAAGTGAAGCTAGATAGGAGGTCGAGGATGAGGCTGGGGCTGGATCCGAGCAGAGAAGTGGGTCATCTGTTACCTTGAAATCAGGCGTTACTCCGGAGGTCCCCACACCCCGCTTCTGTCTGCCTGACCTCACCACCCTCAGGAGGGGGAGAGGGGCCAGTCTAGTAGAAAGATCTCAGTAAAGAGGATGAGGTCCATCCAGGAAACCCAGGGTAACAACAAAATCCTGATCCAGGACGCTGAACACTGGACCTGAGACCGAAGTATGGCCAGCCCCAAAGACTGTCCTGTGTCTGTATAGCACAGATACTCAGCCTATTTGTCTGCTGTGGCAGGGAATGGAGGAGTTAGGGGTGGGGGAGACTGTAGTAGGGCTGGATGGACAATGAGGAGGGAGCCAGAACAGCTATGGGTCCATGACCTCTAACTGGAAACTTCAAGGGCTAGACATGTTCCAGAGCTCAGTTTTGGGGGGATTTTAGGAAGATGGGGCACAAAATATTTGTATCATGCAAAACCCCCAGTAGGGAGTGAACATAGGGCCCCTGTGAACGTAGACACTTGAACATTAATATGCAGTAAAATTTGAATACTCTCATACCCAAGGACACTCACCACCTTATACCACACCGACCGAGGACACAATCATCACACTCTACTCCCATACCATCCTCATCCTGTCTGGACTCCCATAAGCACACAGTGGACCCTCAATGTCCTCTTTTTTTCAGTATACACTGGACCCTCAAGAAGGCCTCTTTGCCTTTTAACTCTCAGCACCTGCAATTTCCCTTTATCTCTAACTGCTGCCAGCACACAAAGCCCCAACAGAGCACAGAACCTTCTAAGTTAACTCCCACCACATTCTTGGGCCCCTCCCAGGCCCAGCTGCCTGTTAGCTTCTCCACAGCACTCACTCCCTATTAACACACTGTTCCCCCTACATGATTCTGACCCCTATTAACATGCACTTGGGACCCTCTACAGCTGACCCACATTAGCATCACTGGATTTTCACACTGCCCTAAATCCCATTAACACAAAGTGAACCTTGCAGATCCCTGACCTGTTTCCGCCCAAGCTCAGACCCTTCCACAGCTATGATTATCATTAACACATATTCTGGTCCTCCCACTACCCTGTCCCCACCACTTCCCATCAGCACAAGCTAGACCTTCACTTCACCCTGACTTCTATTAGCACACGTTAGGTCTCACAAAGTGCCCCCCCATTAGCATACCCTGAACCCTTACTTAGCCCTATCTCCAGGGGCAAACACACTGTTCTACAACGGCCTGACCCTCATTAGTGCACACAGGTCTTCATGCAGCCTGACCCCCATTAGCACACATTTCAGTGATCCATGGCTCTATTCTACTTTAGTACAACCTAGACCTTCACATATTCCTGTTCCTTACTTCTCTTTGCTTCAATCCTCCACGGCTATAACCCTTGCTGATTCACACTTGGATCCCTTCACAGCCCTGATCCTCCTTATTGCACACTAGAAATCCTCCACAGCTCTACCCCCATTAGCACTCCCTGGAACCTCAACACATCCCAGTCTTCCATGGACACAAGCACACACTGTCTTCGAAATGTTCTGATTCTTATTAGCATATTTCAGATCTCATACAGCTCTGACTCTCCCTGCACCGGCACACACTTAAGCGCCTCCATGGCTCTAAACTCACATTAGTAGTCCCTCTAACTTCATATATCACCATGCCCCTTCTTAGTGCACCCTAGGGTCTTGAATCCCCGGTCCTTGTGGACAAACACTGATCTCACACCATCTTGATCCTGAATACCTCTTACAGTGCTAAGACACTTCCTTCACCCCCGCCCCATATATCCACAACTGACAGCCATTAGCACAGGCTCCGGTCTTCCACCACTCTACCCCCATAAGCATAGGCTGGGCCTCAAACTACCCAGACTTTTATTACCACATGCACATACCCTCTACAGCTATGACCCCCATTAGCAGACTCTCAACACTCTAGTTCTTCCACTACCCTGCTCTCCATGAGCACACTCTGGACCCTCACACACTGCAGTCCCTCATGGACATTTTGCACAATATTAACACCATCCTGCCCTATCACCACACCGGGCCTCAACCCCTGATCCTATTAGCACATCTTCTGGTACCTCTACCACCTTATCCCCCATTAACACACAGAGGGCCCTTCTACAGCTAGAACCTAATTTGCATATCTCAGCACTTCTCTGACATCCACTCCCCTATTATACATGCTTGGGTCCCTCCACCCCCTGCATCGCCCCTCCCCATTAAGCACACACTGGACCCCAAACCTTACACCCCTCCGTAACTCAGGCCCCCAGTAGCAAACCTCGACTTTTTCACCACTCTGCCACCCATTTCTACACACTCTAGTCCTTCGACCATCCCGCTCCCCATTAGCACCCACGGTACTTCCCACCCTCAGCTCCCAGACTGGGCCCAGGGCGGGGCCAAGGTCAGGGAGGCCCTGAATGACCCCCTGCCCCGGTGCATTCTGGGCAGTTCGCTGCGGGGAAGAGGCCCATGCCAATGGTGCAGCCAAGACCCCTGGACACTGCCT